AAGTTTTGTTCAACCATGATCCATTCACTAATTTCAGTTAAACATCCTTTCATGAACTCTAAACACCTCAAATTCCAATTGAGAACACTCCATAGTAGAGCCAAATAGTTACAGTTCACTAATTATATGTACACGTATGTATTTGTTACTATGTATAGTGCCTCATAAGCCTGATAAGGCTTCAATAAATAAATGAATATCTTATGTTGTATTTGTACATGTGCATTATTTTATTACCCCAGGTTAACTTTGCTACACCTCCATTCAAAGATCATGCTGGATGAACAGTACAGTGTATTCAAACCACCAGAACATGGACATAGAAAGGTACTCACTATAATAATACAAAATACCAGAAATGCAAGTTCAGACACATTATTCAAAGTGTGTAAGCAGAGAACCTAAAATGTTATTGTAATCATGGGATAAACCTAATATTAGATCATTTCTTGTGATTTTATCATAGATATCAAATATTATACTCATTCTCTTCACTAACTCGTTTTGATATTTGATACCAACTCATCAATAAAAATAATATTACTTAGAATGTTCTGATATTGTGTCTCCTCTGGAAATATTGATATCATCCTTGTGATATTCCCCATATCAAATCCCTCCTGTTGAATAACTCCTTTCTATTTATTCTATATTTTTGTTCCTTTTAGCTTTTTAAGAAAACATGAAAATAGTTCAAAGTTCATGACTGGTATATTTACACATGAAACAGTTAATGAGGTATTTTTCTTCTTTGCAGGTGATCCTATCAACTAACATTGCTGAAAGCTCAATTACAGTACCAGATATAAAATATGGTCAGTTCTATTTCTTTTATAAGCTTTTGGCTAGGTCAGGTTATGATTGTCAATGTTATATAAAATGTGGTCAGTTCTATTTATTTTATAAGCTTTTAACTTTGTTAAATCTTAATATCATTAAAATGGAAATATATTATCTATTGTTAGTTTTGAGCAAGGCAAAAGTAGATCTTTTAGTGTCTACACCTCCCTAGTGGAAATTATGTAACATTTTGATGCAGAAAGATATTTTAAATGGAACCAACTATCTTTGCATTTGAAAAATTCATTTACTTGATTTACATTTTCATGTTTTCATTTGTAGGATCATCTAGTTTACCTATGCCATATTGTATATGAAACTGGTATCCATGAAATTGTGTTTTTACAGTGATTGACTTCTGTCTGACCAAGTACAACATGTGTGACCCTGACACTAATTATACCCGCCTTGTCCTCGATTGGACATCTAAGGCAAGCTCTACACAGAGGAAAGGTAAACATTTGATTACTGGAAGCAGACTTAGGAATATGGTTATACTTGCATCTCTGCCATATGCCTCAGTCTCTGATTGGTCCTTGTAATACATGTGACAACAAATCTTATTCCCTGCTCATGTGAAAGATACATAATTCCTAGTTGTCAGTTTGTCCAATGCACTCCATTTACATATAACAAAAATTTTGAGGCTAATATTAAACAAATACTGGATGATCAGGAGCTGGATATGGCAGAATACCTATTCGAGAAAAAATATTGGGCGAGGCGGCAGCCGAGCCCAATATTTTTTCGAGGATAGGTATTCTGGACATATCCAGCTCCTGATCATCCAGTATTTGTTTTATTATGCACCTCCCAATCAAAGTTAAGTGGATGGAGTACAGGCTTAAACTGTCGTTTAGTTGACATTATTTTGACATTTATTTATTTTTTCTTTCAAAACTCAGACGACTTCCGGCCAGTTTATTCGCTACACTGGATGAAAATATTTGCCCCGGGAATTTAATTTTTATTCATTCGAGACGTTCTTGCAGAATTATATGTAACTTTTGAATGATAAGGGTAATTCTGATGCATTTTTCTTCTATTTTCCGCCAGTTTCAGATGTAAGCTTTAAGTAGTACTCCAGTTATTAAGAAATAAAACTCTGAAGTGGGAATGTTGCAAAAACATTGAAAAAAATATCCGACCCTTTTTCTCGAAAGGGTCAGATATTAAAAAAATATCCGGCAGTTTTCAGAAAAGAGCAGAGTATTGCCAAATTACAAGCAACTAAGAACCAATCAGATTTGAGTGTTTTAATGAGGTGCATAATAAATGATAATATCCATAATGATAAGGCACGGTAGTACAATTTGCGATTGGCAAGCTCTTTTGTACAAAAAATCATAATTGAAAAATAAATATTGATAATTAGCAGATAAAAAATGAGCTAAAAAACAAAAAAGCTGTTGTACCCTGTATTTACACTATACCGCTATACTAGGTCGTGCTGGTCGTGTTTCTGATGGACGTGTCTATAGAATGGTCACCAGGGAGTTCTGGAATGAAGGAATACCTGACTATGGCAAACCAGAAATGGAGGTGAGAAACTACATGAAAATGTCCATGAATTATGATATAGATTGGTGATTATTTTTTTCCAGATTGGTGGCTCATATTAAAAATGCTATTATAATTGAGATTTGTTTTGAAAATACTTTGAAATATGATGAAATTTAAAATCACTTATGGATTTATTTTTAAGAAGATCACAAAAATAGTATTGCATTTCAGATTGTACCTAAAATAATCTCCCCAAAAGGGTGCTAATTAAGAAGTACCTTCATTATATTAATTTCAGAGGTGTCCCCTAGAGGCCCTGATCCTTAAGGTTAAAGTGCTTGACTTAGGCTCCCCTGCATACATACTAGGCCTGGCACTCAGTCCACCTAGGCTTGATGATATTGAGAAAACAATACTCCTACTGAGAGAGGTGAGTGTGTGTCTAGTGTGTATTTCTGAGCAGCATCATATTGTTAATTGCATTGTATTTAGTTATGTGTTCAAGAAAAACAAAATTCAAAAATGTTCTTTGTTTTCTTAAAATATGTTTAGAAATTGGAGCCTTCTTCTCATTTCAAGAGCATTCTTTGTCTTGTCTCCTGAAGTTTGATGTAAATATAGTTTGATAGTAAATATATAAGCACGAGCCCCATAAGGTTAAAGATAGAAATAATAGTTCAAAGTAAATCTGATCATAGGGAAACAAACCGCAGCCTCTCAAATATTGATTTAACATGGAAACAATGTCCAAGATCCCCTCCATCATACTGATTCTGTTGTAGATAAGCATTAGTATTGGTCTCCATGTGATTGTATCTAGGTAGGCGCTCTGGCCCCACCAGAGGAAGGCAAGGATGTTGATTGTACAGATGGCGAACTGACTTTTATTGGACGTGTTCTACAGGCCCTACCTTTGGACATCAGGCTAGGAAAGCTCATAGTATTGGGCCATGTGTTTGGACTGCTTGAAGAGTGCCTTATCATAGGTATTCTGTGTGACAAATATAATCATATTGAACAGCAGATTCAGTTTGTTTATTAATATTAATAGATACCATCTACATTCTTATTTTCACGTAAAAGAGAACATATTTTCCTGTAAATGTGGCTTTACGAAGGCGAAGGTCTGTCAAGCTTACAGAATTGCATCTATGTTTACAAGTTTTAAAGAAACTATCTGATACAGTATTTGTCCAATTTTTGAAACCACAACTTTTAAAGGTATGAAGATTTATCCTACTATTAACAATAACATTTAATGATTATAATTTTCTATATATTTCTAGCTGCCTGTATGTCTATCAAGAGCATTTTCCGCAAACCCTTCAGGCAACCATTGGACGCTTTCAGGTAATAAGTTTGCATCAATTCAGCTAAATTCTTTAGAATAACCAAATCAAACAAAATGTACACATTCATATGACTTGATGGTTCAGTGCTACTATAGTATCCATTTTATGTTTGAACAAGTATAAGAATACATGTATGTTCAAATATTAAGGTCTATCTATTTGATTTTTAGCAATGTTTTATTTTTACAATTGATTGATGTAGTAGCTGTCATTGAGCATACTTTGAGATGATCCCTTCTTGTGGCTCCATAGTTGCCATTAGCAACCCCAATTGTTGTTGTTCTTGTGCCCACTTACGTCGGAGCATTTTGAATTCATATGTTGGTTTTTCTGGTTTGCCTGAATTGGTACACAAAGTTGCTTCATGTAACTCTTTACTTGTCTTAAGATCTATTTTCACATTGTTGGGGTCTTGCTCTGGAAATGATGAGCTAAAATTAGAACACTGTTCTCAAATACTTTGGTAATAAAGCAGCAGCATATTCCTAAATTGATGAAATTCTTTTTTTTATATTTTTTATGTTTTCATAAATCTTGTTTTAAACAAGGTATGCTTTTAAAATCTTCAGCTTTTCAAAGATGGTGTATAATAAACGAGACAAATGTCAACTCTCTAAGTGTATATACCTTTTGGTTTTCTTGTTGGTACAAAAGCTATGGCCATGTACTTCAGTATCTGTACCACTGCATTCAGTTCTATGGGATTCATCATGTTGAACATCCTTGTTGTTGCTTATCACAACCAACAAAATACTGTTGATAAATGTCCTAGCAACATTGTGACATCAGAAATCCGTCACCATGTCAATTATGTAATTATGTAACTATGACATCATGATTCTAGTTGAATTTTGACTGATGTCACAATCAGAATATTAATTGCAAAGGCAATGGGCATCAGGTATTTTTTATCATCTGAAGTAGTTAATCACCAGGAGGGACATGATATGGTGGATATCACCATGACGATAATATCCTGATATCCATCCTGATCCCAAATACATGATTTATCACTTGCTATCATATACCTGATATTGCTATGACCATGGTATAAAATTAGATATGCCTTAAATATGTCCCCACCAAGAAGTGGCAGCAATCTCCAAGTTCATTTTTTTGACTAGCCTCAGCAGTTGGCCAGTTTTAAGGAAATGTATACAAGTTACTGTATTGATATTTATCTTAATAAGCCTAAAATTAGAAAAGAAGACATGAATTCTTATTTCCATAGAAAACTTGTATATTGTATGTTCTGGAAGGTAAACCTCATGTTGACTCACAACCCTAATTTTGTGTTTTAGGAGCAAACTTGAGTGGTCTCAGACACATATGAGTGATCCCATAGCAGCCTTCAATGCATTCAGGGTAAGAAGTAAACTGCACAAATAAGTCAATTATGGCTTTTTGTTTTTGAATCAATATTTTTTTCAATTTAAAACACCTAAAGAAATACACCAGCCAAGACACCCAGGGCACATTCACTTATTTTTATGCATTTCGTTACTTTAATTGATCTGTTGTTTACTTGGTAGCTTTGGTCTGACTACAAACGCGATGGCTGTTTCCCCAACAATCAAAATCAGAGGACCTGGGCCAACAATACCTTCATACAGATCAGACATCTCAGAGAGGTAAACACCACATAGGCTTATTATAGAATATTAGAGTTACACGCACATGTATATGAGCAGTGTTCATGAAGAAAAACACTTTAATATTATTTTATGATGAAATCCACTCATTATACTGGTCTGGTTTGAAGATTCATATCTTGAGATTCCCTTTACTAAATTAAAATCCCATAATCATTGGAAATTTTATTCAAATTGAACCTTGTTTACTACCATTATTAATATATGAAACATGGTGATTTATGAAAACACTTATTCCATCATTTCAGGCTGAGGAGTTGAAGAATGAACTTGAGAACAGACTGAAGAAGTTCAACATTTGTCTTCCTCACTTTGGTCCCAACAGGAGAGAGCAACCACTTAGGAATGAACAGATGCACAGGTTACTAAAGGTATAAGCCTTGTTTTAGGTAAAAGCTATGTTTTAGCATGGGTCTCTTGAAAGCCCATGGTTTTAGGTATAAACCCTGTTTAAGGTATAAGCCTTGTTTTAGGTATAAGCCTTGTTATTATAGGTATAAACCCTATTTTGGTATAAACCATGTTTGGTGTTATGTAGGATATACATGTAATAATACATTTGCTTATTTCTCTCTTGTCAAGCTGTCTGATAAAGCAATCTACATTCCCACATCTAAGTCTTGGTAAGTGTAAGGCCATGGAATAAAATTGTGTTTTGAAAGAAACATGAGTTGCATCCAGGAAACAGTGTATATTTTTGCATCCAATATTTTCATGAGGTTTATGAAATTAAACTTGATTGCAGATGGTACTTTGTGGGGCATTCTACCCAAACTATTTCACTCGAGGTGAGATGGATGAAGGCGAAACTGCCAGGACACTTAGCAACCATGACCCATTCAGAACTGTCTTGGTAGGTTCTCCATACATTAATTATCGGTACAGTTATAATAGTGAAATGTAACTATTTTCTGAGTTAAAATTTCACATTTATTGGAAGCCTTGATCTTGTTATGTACACTGTGTTCACTATGTGAAATGAGACTGCTCCAGGCCTTTTTCAAATGAAATAAAACATTGAACACAATGTATTTCTTTTTAAGATTATGCGTAGCTATAAGTTTTTATACATGCCTCGGTTTATCACACCTTTTCAAAGTGCTATACAGTAGTGTTGTTGTCTTGGGGTAATGGGCATCTGGACATATCTGTGGGTGGGCATAAATCTTGTCAAGAAAACCACTTATCTGTTCAATCTGTAAATTTCATTGCAGCCATTTTGAATTTTTGCTCTATTTATCACTGTATCTTGTATCCAGGTAAAAGGACTTCCAGCCAATCAGGGAGGTCTATACAAGTCTCAGGTAGAACAACACTTCAAGCCATTAGTACGTGATGGCACCAGGATGAACATCTTCTTTGAGGAGACGAAGGCTTTTATAGAGTTTGAGCGTCCCAGGAAGACTGCCCAAGTTGGACAGCAGTTGAAGAATCTTATACAAGTGGTACTTGCTGTTAAGATGAGGTAAGCTACACCAGAATACAGAACATACATTTTGTATCATAACCTTTCTATTATTCTCTAGTTATTAGCTTTAATGCCACCCACAAAAAGTGTTATATGTTATGGCTAACCTTATATGTTCAAATTGTGCACTTTCATAACCATTTGCAATGAATAACCAGGTAGTGACATTTTGTCATTTTATACCTGTTCATGAAACACCTTGTATGTATGTTACATGTTTGTGTATTTCGTATTTATGTATTTCAGAGAATTGAGAATCCCCATGCAGATTCAAATGATGATACATGTTTATGTATTCCAGAGAATTGAGAATCCCCATGCAGATTCAAATGATGATACATGTTTATGTATTTATGTATTCCAGAGAATTGAGAATACCCATGCAGATTCAAATGATGATACTAGTACATGTTTATGTATTTGTGTATTCCAGAGAATTGAGAATCCCCATGCAGATTCAAATGATGATATTAGTACATGTTTATGTATTTGTGTATTCCAGAGAATTGAGAATCCCCATGCAGATTCAAATGATGATACTAGTACATGTTTATGTATTTGTGTATTCCAGAGAATTGAGAATTCCCATGCAGATTCAGCTGATGGATGTTGAAGATGCCAGAGAGAAGATGTCTCAGCTCAGTGTACTTCAGGACTCTTCTAGGATCAAAGCAAGGCTCAGGACTAACAGGTACACTATTAGACATTACATGAGAGAGGTTAAGCTATATGTTTTAAGGGAGCTTGTACATGAATTGCTCTTGTGCATTGTATTTATTCCCCTGAGCATTAAAGAAAATAGTTGTGTTAAGGTCCCTGGGAAAACAATTTGACAGGGGACAGTAATCCATTGGGGTCATAATATTACAAGTTCTCTAAAAAATGTAGATTTATCTCCCAAATATGAACTAAAAGGGGATGAATAAAACCCAACCACCCAAGATAACATCTTATAACAGATAAGATAACAGATAACGGGGGATTCTGATAAGCCTAGGTAACATGGACTGGGCAGTGACTTTTGGGGAAAAGCCCATAGTCTGGGGGACTCATATTGTGGATTAAAATAGATAAATGAAACTATTTTTAGGATCAAGGCTGTCAGTGATAAGAAGAGGATGTCACTAGAAGGAGAAGATGGAGAGAGTTTGCCAAGACAGGAACAGCTTCCAAGTGGCAAGATCACCACCATTGAGATTTATATCACAGAGGTAAGCTTATCATATTAGTTTTTATTAAGAGCAAATCTCAAATACCAAACATGTGATACAGGCATATATGATGTTTGGTGGTTGGTGTTCGAGTTCAGCATCTGTAATAATTTGTGATCGGATCGGCTTCTGTAAAATTTTGCAATAATTTACAAGGTGATGTTTTGTCATGTTAATGACTTGTTTATTCAATACATTGGACAATCTATTTACATTTTCTGATGAAGTAAGTTTATGTATCTGAATATTAGAAAAGGTTCAATTAATATTTTTACTTGAGAAATCTCATGTTATATTTCTCTTAACTGTAGGTGTTGGAGTGTGGACATTTCTGGGGCCACTATGCTGACCCAGAGACATTTGCCAAACTACGGGATCTGCTAAAAGATATCAACATGTACAATGGAGCAAATCTCAAGGTATGCTGTTATACAGGCCTGTAGCTAGGGGGATGGGGGGTTAGAGCGAGTTTTAATGCGTCAGTTAATATTAATCAATATCGTAATAGATCATTGGAACGAAACCCATTTTTCTTCACTATCATTGGATAACATCTGTTTATCTCAAATTATATGTTTAATATATCTACTGTACTTCTACAGAGCAGTCTATTGCGATGAGAGGCACAAATATATTACACCTCATATTGCTTTAATGTATAAGACCAAATAAGTCCTCCAAAAGGTGTCAGGCGTAAGAGTCATAATGATATAACATTATAAGGACCATAGATATATAGACCATCCCTCCCCACCTGTACAGTGAATTAACCTGTGTATAAATAACTGAAGATTATATTTACTATTGTTTATAGGTGTTAACTGGTGCAGAACTGGAGTATGGAGGCTACTGCCTGGCACCCTATGATGGAGACTACTACAGGGCTAGGATAGAAAGGATTGATATGAACTATCATATATAATGATATTTACTATTGTTTATAGGTGTTAACTGGTCCAGGGCTGGAGTATGGAGGCTACTGCCTGGCACCCTATGATGGGGACTACTACAGGGCTAGGATAGAAAGGATTGATATGTCAACCAACACTGTAGAGGTAAGCATGGCCTCACATTTTCAACCTTAACCTACTTCATATAGTCTTAATTTTTTTAATAATAATAATATATTTCATTTTTTCGTAAATTTTTACAATAATATACAGTTTTTGTGGAAAATAATGAAAATGCAATGACACTTAAAATAAGTGTATTAAAGTACACAATAATTGTTACACTGATTATAAAATCAAGAATTTGAATTGGAAAAAATGGAGATAAAGGACTATATACATGTAGACTGTGGTAAGCAACTAAGCACACCATGAAATCGTATGGTATTGGTTATCACATTCATTACAATGCATGTGCTGTTGTATTTGGTAAAATTACACACTATTAATAATGTATGTATATGAACATCTAAATATTCCATATGATAACAAGACTTGTGCGAACTCTGTCTGTGCATCATGCTGATTTTATATTGAAAATATCCACTCCACTCGATTGTAAATAACAATTCCAGTCATTTCTTAATACAGGTATTTTTCCTTGACTATGGTAACACAGCCACAGTGGAGATACCCCAGCTATGTGTCATGGAACCCCAACACTTAAGGCTACCATTCCAGGTAAATATATATCACAATTTAATATACAATGATTAGGCCTTTTTAAAGGGGCTCAGTGGATACTTTTCATTGTTTTTAGTAAGATGGACACACTTAGTTTTTCTAAATTTAATGGTTTGTTTCATAATCAGTCACATTGTATTAGAAGATACAATATCTTGTCCGAAATTTAGAAATCTGCATTCTTTCAAATTTGACCATTCACTCAGATATTCTGTCTATTGATTTAAAATTGTATTAAAAAACATTAAACCATGGGCATTCAATATTGAAAGCCCATGATTAAACCTATGAAGTGCACATACTTTAAAACTTCTCATACTCTCATTTTTCATGCTTTCACTTTTTACCAAAAGGAAGGGTTGTGTATCGCAGTCTATCAACATTTTGAATTACAGGGTTATAGAACTTTTAAATTGTCCACCTGCACTGTCCAATATTGAAGTCAAGTAATGTCACACATTGACATTTCAGCCCTAATATATTAGGGATACTTCAGTTCTAGGCGTAACCTCTTATACCTTTGTATATCGGATTATGTAGACATTTCCAGTGCCATTACCAACTAACAAATGTCCTTGATTGTTGATAGCCACAGCTCTTGGGTTGACCAAACCAGCAGAAGCTGTGAGGAGATATTTGATGAATTTCCCCTTTGCGTCAAGCAAGTGAACCCTATGATTGTCCCAGTCAGCAACAATGACATTGTCGGCACTGTTTATACATAAAGCAGTAGGCTGACTTAGCTGGTTTTGTCCACACCCATGTGTGCCATACCGAAACAACTCCTTACAGTCTCTGTCCATAGCTATGATACAGTGGAGATTAAGATCAGATACAAACACCATATCTTTGCTGTTAACTGCAACCCAATGAGGGCCTTGGAACATGCCTACTTTGGATTGAGTCAGGATCTCTCCAGTTTTCACATCAATGTGGGAAACTGTCATTGTACCAATGTCACAAACGATCAGCTCATTTTTAGAGTTCACGGCTAATCCTCGAAGCTGTTGTAGTCCTTTCACTTTTAAATCTTGAATCTTTGTGCCATCATGATTGTAAATATGGACCTTATCAGTTCCACTGGTGAATAATAAAGTATCACCACTTGATGCCACATTTGTGAATTTTCCATTTATGACAGTAATTGGCGTAAGATTCCTGTCATAGATCCTAGAGGAGTTTTGATAGTTACATGCAACAATTTGAGTATTTGCTGTAATATCAAGGTCCATCATTACATTCATATTGGCAAGCATCCTTTTGTTAAGCAATACTGGTTCAGTCAGTTCAAGAGGAACTGGTCTCTTTGTAGGGATGTCCTGTATTTTGACTTCACCTAGTGTTATCTTTTTGTCAAGAACCTCACCTCTTTTCAATGAGAATTTGATTCTCGAGTTGAATTCACATGTAGGATTTCTTTCCCATTCTTCAGACCTCTCCATAATCTCTTTTGTCATGTTAGCTAACTCTGCATTGTGACCATGTTGTTTCACAACATTGAACTGATGAAGCATGGTGTCTACCATGGCCCTCTGGAGCTGGACATTGCCAAGATGAGCCTCGATCTGTTTAGCACATACATCCTTTCTCTCGGTCACCTTATCAATATTTGCTTTGTACTTTTCACGTATTGCTCGGATTGCTATGTTCATTTCATTGGTCAGTTCATTTGTGATGTCACTGACTTCTTTCTCCATTGTTTCCTTGTACACGATTGTGTCTTTGGTTACAGTGTCAAACGATCCCAATAGTTTCTCTCCACTTTTAACAAGCCTGTCGATATGTTTGATGTTGTTTCGTGCGGCCTGATGTATATCCATACATTCATGACCTGAGTGGGTAATGACGTAACAAGTTGGACATACAGCACATTGATCCACCTTGCAGTAGATCTCCACAGGGTTGTTTTTGTGTGTTTTACAGTATAAAGTTCGCTCTTTAATCACCTCAAGGGCACTTTGTATATCATCTGTCTTATCACCTCCCAAACAGAGCAATGTGTGTCCTTGAAAGAATTTGCTGTGAAAATGTTCGCAGTTTTCACACATATTCTTATCACATTGTAGACATTTAGATTGTGCATTAACATCATGTATATTACTGTCCTTACATACGCTACATTGAGGTTGTGTTCCAACATCCATTGATTGAAATATATCAACGAGAGTATTCATAGTGTAGCTGGATTTGAATGCACGTAGACCACCATCTGGTAGGATATGAACCTTACGACATTCTGGGCATTCTACACTCCATTCCTCTTCTTTCCTCAGTACCAGTTTGTCCAAGCACTTTAAGCAATATGTGTGCATACAGGGAAGTGTCTTCGGGTCATCCAGAATCCCAAAGCAGACCTTACATTTAAGAGTTTCTTTAACATGTTCTTCCATTGAAGTCGCCATTTTTAGCTATATCATGTGATGTTTGAATGTTTTAGTCAAGTGTTTGTAGATTGTGTTATCTTAACTATTTTAGACACAAAAAATCAATTATTAACTGTTTTGTTCAGTAGTTTAAATAGCCTGTGTATGTGTATTCAGATAGCTGAAATAACAAGTGCAGAGTGACCTCAAATGATATGGTGATATTGTTTACAGTTCCCTTACAGATTTGAATTTTGAAAATGTTTTCAATTTTTTGAAAATATTTAGTTTGAAGCCGGGAACCCATTCCAAACACTTGTTTGTTCCTTTATGTAATGTACTTTGTGATTGATACCCTACCATTTGGGAATACTAGTACACAAACAAACAGACCAACAAATGAATAAATAAACAAACAAACAAATAAATAAATGAAATTGTAACTTCAGTCCTTAGAGTTCTACCTGAGTCACATCAGAGCATCCACAATGAAGTGTCCCGATGGACGGTGGACTAGGGAGGCCAATGAGTTCTTTATGTCTCATGTTGCAGACCAGAAGATATATGCAAGGGTAAGTGATGTACTTTATGGGAGATCTGACAAAATAACATATGATGTTAAAGAGGTTCAGAAATATATCTGGTTGATTACAAGAATGGACGTAATTTTATTGGATAGTTTTACTCAATAAGAATCATCTAATTTATTGGCAATTTTTATGATATCATCACCACAAGTAGTGGGTGACATATGATTGTTATAGTCTCCATTTTTTGTGTCGGCAATTGGTGTTTGGTGTTCAGCATTCGGCATCTGTAACAAATGGCAGGTCAGGTGACATTTTGCATGTTAATGCCTTGTTATTTTTTCTCAAAATCATACAATTGCAAGGTAAACCATTAAATGGAAACTTCATTCCCCTCTTGGATACTTCTTGGTAGATAAAAGATAGGATTATCATTGGAACATCCTGTATCAAATATAAGTTAACCTCTTAAATTCCCGGCTCTAAAATTGGCATGAAACCAGAGAATTATTCATTTTTTGCCACCTTTTGACATTTTATTACATACCTATACAACTTTAGATGCTCAGCTTAGTAAAATTGGACGGCAGAGATCATTTCTACACGTTTTAAAACAATTTTTGTGTAAATTGGATGAAAATTGTTCAAATGAGAGCAATTTTTGTGAAAAATTTTGTGACGGATTTTCTCGTCCCTCTGGGCACCGGTCTTATTTCATTTGTGACGGATATATCCGTCACTCTGGGTATTCAAGAGGTTAAACCTTATGGTGATATTATGAAATTGTTGTTCATGTTTTAGATCTACTCCATAGTGAAGGGTGTTTTGAGAGTTGAGTTGATCAAGAAGATGGCAGATGGTAGGACAGAAGTGAACATCAATGAGCTGCTAAAGACACAGAGATACGCTGACAATGCTGATGAACCATATGCATCCGAGGTAACATACTGTAACCTTACAAGGCCATATTCAGATTGAAGATCCGAATTCATGTTATTAAAGAGAGTGTCAGAGATAGCTACTAGTGCAGTGACTCTTTGAAAACTGTCATATTCTAAACCTCATAATTGGATGTAATAGTGAGCTTCAGGAATTGCTTCTCATCCATCATTTGCCCATCTTTTTGTCTGTCAAAGATTTCTGGATTCAACATTAAAGCATGGCCAAGATAGAAAAGCTCTTGAATTGATCCTTATACTGTTTGTTGTAGCAAAGTAACAAGAAGCGAGACATGGAGGCCATGGCAGAAGAGGAGGTCCTGGAGGATGAAGAAGACTGGCTAGAACTCTCCATGGACGGACTACAGAAGGGGGGCAGGTCACGTCGTGGTGAGAGGGTCAGATTGACAGGTCCCTGGGCTGGATATGAGATGCAATTTTATAGCATGACGCAGATAGGCAGGTTGAGGTATGATATGAATAGAAACAGTTGTAGTCATTAAGATAGACAAAATCTTGAAAATACTTCAACATAATCAGTAATTCCTTGTTAAGTCTATAGATCCCTACATGGAATCCGTACACCCCTTGGGGTGTCCTTTTCATATCACTTGTAAATTAATATTGTATGAAACCGAGAATTGAATAATAAATTGAATTGAATAAAATTGAATTGAATGAGCCAAAAAAAATTTACTTCTCTTTGCACTCTCTGTAGAGAGATCATAAGGGTTTGAAGTAAGACTAGCAAAATGAACATTCATATTTATTAATCCTAACCCTTGTACATATACTTGTAGAGCTGCCAGGATAGAACGAGATAGTGTGAACTCTGTGGCTTTAGATGAGGAGCCCCAGGACAAGCACCCAAGGATGATGGTGGCAGGGATGGTGGGATTGAACCCTTCTGGAAGCACAATGCAGGCCAGGGATACCACGATCATGCCTAATATACATGGCCTCACTGCTTTAGCTGCACTTCTCTTTACACCCATGGCAGAACTTAGGTATGTAATATGTGGGGAATACATTCCCTCTGAATGAATGACTACATATCTAATATGTAGATATGTAGGGATCATGTCTACAAACTTGTATAAATTATCATATCTCTCTGTTTTGAAGAAGAAACCTGAAGATCAGTTCTGGGTGTCTATGTGTGGAATTAAAATATTTCAAGCATATTAAAATATTCAAGCATATTCATCCTGTATTTTATATGTTATGTAACAATCATATATTAAATAATATGTAAATCTAGTGGGTGATTATTATATTATTATATGCATTTGATCTGTAGTTTTTACATGTGTGAATAATACAAAAATAGATGCATTGTATCAGATTCAGTCTAAATTTGTAATATCAAGTAAAGTACATAAGAATGTCATTGCTGTCAACATATTGTTCTGTTGCTTTCAGGACTGATCCTAAGATGAGACGTTACACAGGAGCTCTATGTGGCCTGGGTTATGACTTCACCCATAATGGTCCTGCTCTACCAGACCATGACATGGAAGTTGTCTTTGATGTTGTTATAGACAGACAGGATATAGCAATGGTGAGTTTCGGGTTATGTTGTCGTAGACCTAATATGCAGTCAGTGTAATCTACCTGAATAGCTCAGCAGGATAGACTTTTATGTCACCACCAGAACTGGTGACCTATTGTTATTGTCTCCAACTTTTTTGTGGACACTGTTCATGTTTGGTGTTTGGCTGCCAATGTCTGTAACAAATGGTAGGGTGTGACACTTTGCATGTTAATACATGTACTTGTTACTTTGGTGGCTTTGGTGTGGGCCAGTGCCAAGCTCCTACTAATATACTTCCCATACACTTGGCTGATTATTTCATTATTTAGAATAAATGCTTAGAGTAATGTATACTTCTATCAATATTGGTGCAAAGTAAAAAGCAAAAGTCTCCTTCAAGGAGGTCTATTATGGGTATGTCTCTGCTATAAATCTGTATCATAAAGGGACTATACTTGAAAGGTGAGGTTTTAATGCTTGAAACTATCACCATGATAATATACAGCCTCTGCAATCTTTTAACAGGTACATTTAGGTATTTTGATAATTGAAAGTTTAATCTTCACTTCCTGTATATTCATAGATCAATGGTGTTCGTATGGCCATCAACATGGGTCTCCGCAGTGACCCTGCCACAGGGAAGCAGGTGATGTGGGACAGGGGAGCTATTGGCAAACTGCAATACAATGCCAGGAAGAAACTGGAAGAACTACTTGATAGACCTCGTATTGATAAGGAATGGGAGCATTTTGCCAGACCTTGCCAGTGGAACCAGGTAGGGTGATGGGTGATAGAGCTTTACATTGGATGATTTAATTAGATTTATTGTCATAGAGACATTGTTTGGTAAACATCTGTTCTGAACTTTTCAATTGACTTGTAATTTCTTTAATTTAATTTACTATCTTCTTATTGTATCAGAAGTAAAATATTCACATGTCCCATTGAATGTTTTAAATGCTTGTAGGTTAATCCTGACAACTACCTGCCTCATGGCCTAGAGGGCACTGAAGCTGACTGTGCTTACTTACTGGCCCTACATAGGGCAGTGGCACTCAACGAGGAACCCCCTCCTGTCAGGCCCCAGATAGAGCCGTATCCAAATAGACCAACTTCCATGTTTGGACCTCATGGGATGGGTCAACATAGAATGAGTCAACAAACAATGGGTCAACATGGTCAACACACAATGGGTTTTCAGGGTATTGGTCACCAAAGGCCAGATCACCACACACCAGGCATTCTATCAGCGGGTGTTCCAGATCACCTCAAGTCAGCAAGGGTGTATGGGTGAGTAAATATCAACATCTTAACTAAGTACTAGTTTCTCGTGAAGAAATTATGATGACTGGCCGTACAAATATAACAAATGGAAAGAATGAATAAGAGAAAGTAATGGGTTACTCAACTTACTGTGAGCATAGCAAATGCCATCCTCCTAAGCAGGTGTACAGAATCCGTACCTCCTTGTTCCCCCTGCTATAACCAATTTGGAAGCGCCGATTTAACTGAATCATGTGATCTAATTATGCGCAATGACTTATACATGATTTCTGTCGCAGTGTTGTGACAGCCAATCAGATTGCGAGTTCTTAATCAGGGAAATGGTAACTGCTTATCGAAGGGGGTAAAAAGAAAGAATATATTCTGGATTTTGAAGCCCTGTGATCGGAGGATGAGCAAATGCACTTATGTACTTATTTTGAGGAACAAGTTATGAATTCACTGTCTGTGAAAATACACTTGATTGATGGTTTTGTTGCAGCGATTCAATAATCAGCACAACCTGTGCCCAGTCTATACCCTTCTTTTTTGCATGCTCTGTATATTTATACTTTATTGCCCCAATGGATGAAGTTTCGGGCTAAGGTTGCATTTAAAAATCCCATTCAGGACCATTATAATGTTTCATCTCATAATTCGTTCACAGCTCTAGCTCAGCGAAAGAGTTCCTATTGATCATTGGAGTCTTGTCTATCTAGCCATGAAAATGTAATGATACGGTGACTACACTGTTTTTGAGATAAATGAACCTGGAGAGAGCTACCACCGCAAAGCTACCTGTTTCAGAGAATTATTCTGCTCTACAAAATCACTCTGCGATCTCTAGAAATTCTGTTCCTAACCAAATTTGGAAATTTGGAAATGTTTCCTAATAGATTAATACTTATCCTATCAGGAATTAACCTTGATTCATTGATCAAACACAAGATGGCACTGCGACGAAAAAGCTTCTTTATACAGAAAACCAAATATTAACCAACAGTAATCTTTAGTATCCCTTCTCAGAACTATATTCTTCATGGGTATAGCGAAGCCCTCTGTCAGTCTGTCTGTGTCCACTTGAAGCATAACTCAAATACTAGGACCTATTTTTATTATATTTGTTGGAAAGATGTATAATACTAAGTACTTGTACTCAAAAGATTTTTTTTAACCTCCAGTTATGGGCAGCTAGGAGGTGGACATCCCCCAGAGGAATATCCCAGATCTCACCCCCCAATGAAGCCTGTACCCAGGGGTCCCCAGCCAAAGTACTTAGATCTGACAGAGCACCTAAGCTGGTTGCACCAGAAATCAATTGGGTAAGTTGTTACAAAAAGGATCATATTCCCATTAATATGCAAATCCTTTTTTATTATTATCTTATGTCACCACCACAATTGACATTTTGCATGTTAACGTTGCTTACTCTACATTTTATATTTTGTTATTAACTTTTTGGATTATCATGCCACAAAAGTATGTACATCACATTGCCACATATAAGCAGGGCTAAGACTTATTGAAATATTTCCATTTAAATTATCACATAATATATATCAATTTTGCAGGCCAAGGGTTGTGGAGTCGATAATGTGTGATTTCTGTGCCCATCGTCTTGGTAGCACACTAGAACTTCTGGTGCATATGAAGACACCCAAACACAAGAAGAATGTAGAGATAATGCTCCAGCATTAGAGTGCAATACAGTATTCAGAAACTATAGAGACAAACAGCATTCAACGGTCGAGGAGAAAGGAGATAAGCACTTAAATCCTGGAGAAACAAATGGCAGGATACAGGCACAGCGGTCATAGTTGAACTACAGTAATTGCCACACAAAATGCATGCTGAAATAGCTGGCCCAGAGTGTAACTAACTTGCTCTGGGCCTCCAGTCTGGTGCTTATGTTATACCCTTACATGGGGAAAACCGATATGCAAAATGTAGAAGACATGTACATTGTCTAAGACATTAAAACGTGGAATTCCAACATGTCAGAAGAAGAAAGTAGTGTGTATGTGTACACAGATATGACTGTATGAACAGATCAGGGATTATGACAGTTATATACACGATGCAGCATGGCTGTAATTTTGTTGATATATCATGATGTCTCAAAGCCAAAGAGAAATCATGAACTTTTTGTTCTTTGGAACTTGGCTTTGTTTGCAATCTTAAGATTCTTTCTTATAGCATTTCCAATGCATTAGTAAAGACCCATCTGAGTTCTAATACATGTTGTTGGTTGAAATTATACATGTGTATTGTTGTGATTTCTAGTCTTTATTTTCTCAGGAATTAATCGAACAATTCAGTTGCGTTTAAAGCAATATGTGTCTAAGCCAAGTTGATATATCCTTTTATTTATAAAACATTTTGAATTTTTCAGAATAATTTTGTTACCATGACAACCACGATGTTGTAAACAGTTGTTACTGTGCTGTATGGATGTTTTAAGATGAACTCCTGGGTATGTCCATTTTGGACAGTTTAGTTTAAAGAACAAGTGCCACGATTCTTTGATTTCTTGCTTACATTGTAATATGATAATACTAAGGATCATTGCCCTTTGAAAATACCCAGCGTGTGATCACTGTGATGTGGTTAGTCGAATTTAGTTTCATAATCATAAAAGCTAGATCAGTTAAAACAGGATATAGTTTCTATTTTAAAGAGTCATAGAATATTAATAAGGCGCAAATTGTAGCTTACTTATCAATTCAATGAAGCCTTCATTAGCCAATCATGACTGTTAAGCAATTAATTCAACGTGCCATGTGGGTAAATGCATTACATTTACAGTAAAACATGCCAAGAAACAATGATGTCAATTTTTAAAAGGAATGGCTCAAATTTGAACATTCATTTGAAATGTTTGAATGTTCCTCCCATTTTGACTTTCAGATTTTATAAAGCTTCATGTAATACTAGATATAGTAGACAAAAGACCCCTCATACCCCTTACATACCAACAACTCCTTGATGTAAAAATTCTCAAGCTTACTCTATCCTCTGTAGTTTATAGTAGACAGGTTTTAGTGTTAATGTAGGCCTATATGACTTCATTTATATGTAAGTGTTAATATTATCATGTAACTTTAGCCAGTTGACCAGTTATTACCTGTAAATAAACTGTACAAGTGACAATAAAGCTAAGATATTTTTTTATTATTATTACAAATAATCAAACTTGTTTTGTTGAGTCGTAGGGTATCCGTGGTATGGTGTTTGTAATGTAAATAATTTTTCGAATTTAGGTATATAGACCGAAGAGAAGTGTTATATCGACGAATACATACCGCAGGGCTAGGCACAAATGTTTTCTGTATAAAGGGAGTGAGGGGTTCGAAAACTTTTGTGGTATGTATTGCGTGCCATGTAATGTATCTTTAACAGCTTCTATTCTCGCTTCACAGCTTGAGGCACGGTAACGTGAATTCCCCGGTGACCATCATACATTTCCACTTTACCCGTACCCTGAGCTGTAGAACATCTATTGGATCAATTTGGATTATGGCTTTTGCACAATTTGTAGCAACTATTTTTATCAGATTGCGGAGTTACATGACAAGCTTGATGTGGTATAACTTTCAATTCATTCAAAGACAACGATCGAAATCTGGAGTATTTATTTACCGTTGGTTACCTTCTGGTACTGACGACTTGTAGTTTTACTAACTTCAGAACTAATTCTGTATTAAGTGTTACAATTAGAGGTTATGTCACTATCGTGGCATATATGCCCGAGTTCTCAGTGATATATGGCCCGACCTTGGGAGGGACATTGATCTCTGAGAACCGAGGGCATATGTGCCACGATAGTGCTGTAGTGACATAAACGATTTATAACATACCTATGATGATGTAGACTGGTCAGAGAGTACCGTTTTCTTATAGAATTGACAAACAAATGGTTTGAAAATGATTGAAATGAGTTTAGAAAAATTGCTCGCGCAATTTTATCTTCGATTGATTGGTTATGACGTCAGCGCCTTGACCAATCAGAAAGTTAGCGGGCGCGGGCTTTTCAAAACTTATATTGGCCCGCTGTCTTGTGTACACTTTGCACTATACATCATCATAAGTATGTTATAATACAAGTATATTGATATCAGTCATCTGGCGTCATCAAGGAGTTTCTAAAGATGTATCTATTTTATCACAAGTTTAAGAACAGAAGACAAAAGTATTTTTCTGCATTTGTTCTTGTTTTATTATCACAGCTTCCTCGCCTACACTTAAAATGCATTCAGACTAATTATGAAATCAGTTCGTTTAACTCATGCGATAAAATGTCCGTTTGGTGGCAAAACAAATACCAAACGACGTCTATACTGAGGAAAATTAAGGTTGAAAATAACGTTTATCTGCCTGCAGTCAGGGCAAAAGTTCATTGCAAAAAAGTTGAATAGTAAAATGATAAGCATTGTCTCTTCCCTCTTGTGAAACTCAGGCAATTGTCTTTATGGCGCGTCTAACTGCGTCGGCGGGCGGTACGCCTGCGGACACGACGTGAAGCCCTGGTAGGAGATGCTGCCCTCTGCACCTGGAAATAAAAAGCGCACACATTGTTGTATATCATCCACGTAAGAAGGTAGGCTTATCATTTGCAAGTGAATTTTACTTAAAACGAACACAAATTTTGCTCATCGGCGTGCCCGCCGCCGCCTTGTGTCATATTGATATCGCAAACAACAGTGTGGTCGTTGCGGTTATTAGCCTCTCTAAAATAAAATCATAGTTTTACACTGTAGGCTACTTACCCTCCTAACTGGGGATCTTGCACGACGTGCAGCTCGACGACGGGGTGATCTCGTGCGACGTGTCGGGCTCCTTGTGCGTCGTCGTGGGCTAGCCCTACGTGTACGTCTGGTGGTTGACCTTGAACGGCTTCGGCTTCGGCTACGGCTACGGCTACGTCCACGTCGTGCCTGAAAAGTACAGTAATGATATGGTCAATCTCAACCAATGCATCCCTTCTATATTGAGCTTATTGAAAATAATAGGCTAGGGCATCCATTAGCCTATCATAGCCGGCCCCAGGGGATATTTGCAAGAAAGCTAAAATCAGCAGCATTGGCAGACTAGTAAACCGGCCACATTGTGTAACCTTATAAAAAATAAAGCTAAAATAATCTAGAAGTATGATTTTAATTTAAAACGTACTTACTGGTGCCATTTTGAGTTTCAGGGAACTAGGCCTATGCTAAAATAAAAAAAACGTCCACACACTCCAACAAAAAGAACTGAAATAAAGAATGCTGCGTTTCAGGCAGTTCGTTTGATTTTCGTGCCCTTGACAACGGAGCGTGACAATGTCTAATAATTGCATTTCTATTGGTCACTTGTATTGAAGATGACGTCACACTCCACGAAATGTTTTTTAGAGAAAAAAATTTCTTCTAAGAAAACAAAATATTTGCATATTGTCACTATGACTATATTACGTCATTTACATTCTGATCTTAATCAAATGACGTCACGTTAAGTCACACATGGCTGACAGGCTGAATAATTTAAACTTTCAAATTTTGGACTATTGGAAAAAGAACTAAAGGCCTAGGGAGGCAAATACATAAGTTATATATAGAAAAAAGACGGATCATGCCAGCTGCAATATACGTAAAGGAGGGTGACGATGATGTCAATAACATTCAAATAGTTACCGGAGGCAATGAGCAACAGCAAATAGAAAAAGAGAAAGGTGTAGGCCTAGCTGCCAAATTTGCGGCCCAAGGTTCGGGTGATACAAACAAGGAAAGAAACAATGCACAGCAAGATCTTAGAAATACATGTAATACAACGAGTTCCCAACAAATATCAGGAGAGGCTATTGGTTCAACTTGTCAACTTGGCACTGAATCGCAAACCGATGCAAATGAGAGTAAAACATCGCGGTTCAATGATAGGCTTCAGTTTGAAGAATCTGCTATTTTAGACGAACTGAAGCGCGATGGATTGGTATCAAAAGTTAAAGTGAAGAACTCTAACACAACGAAAAGTTTGAAAATACTCGATCAGTTGAGAGCAATGGGAATAGTGCACGAAAGCAAAGGTATGTATGGTTATGGAGGCACCGGCTAAGCTTAGGTTTTTGGCTGGGAATGCTAAAGGTTTTTGGATAGTAAGCCTAGTTGTAGGCCTAGGCTAAAAGAAAATACAGTCTTTGAAAAACTATGGCCTTACCCTATAGTTTTGATGCCTGTTCATTTTGTAAATCATTCATAAATACTCGATTCACTTATCAATCACTCAACTTGCTTTTCCATCTAATTTGAACTATTTGTATCTGTTCCAATTTTAGGAGGTGTTGAATTCACAATAACAATCGCCAATGGCACCACAGAACAATGCACAAGAAAACCACCACTGAGACTCACAACAATAACCAAAGAAACTCCCAACATGTTGAAGAAACGATTGCACATGAAGCAAGAGAAGGCAGAGAAAACGAAACAAGAGCAAGTGTTAAAACGTCAGAAGAAAATATTTGAACGCCAACATCGTTTTGAAGAAGTAAAACAAAGACATATGATGCAAGAATTTCAATTTAATGACACTGTTATCCATAGCAAACAGGAGAAGGCCGACAGATTAAGACAAGAACAAGAGTTCAACCGAAAAAAGAAAATACTGGAACGCCAACAACGTTTTGAAGAAGTAAAATTCAGAAGAATGGAACGAGAATTTCAATCCAATGGCGACAAGAGTGAAGATGTTTCAAATAATGCCGTTAATAAAAATGGTGCAAAACCAAAAGAAATATCGAAATTCGTTCGGGATATTGGATCGAATCTTGAATTATTGTAGAATGTGAATCATTTTAATAATGGATATGTAATATTCACAACTGGGAAGTAATCCCATATTATTCAGCATCTGGTCGACTTTGGTATCACCTTGTTAAACATGTTAATCTTTTAAAATGGAAATTTATATGTATAATATGATAATGTTACAATATATTTACATGTTTTTGATAGTGAATTCACTTTGTTGTTTAGAAGTGTTGTTTACAAGTTGAACTTTTCCACACATTATCATTAACTCTGAATATGATTATCCCGGCGGCTCCTCCGTGTAAAGTGAAGTTCGTAGTCACTTTAGTGCAAGATGTTAATGTTCATAAAAGAGGGGCGCTATTAGCAACTTACATCATCAATTTACTGACAGACTGAAGAACACCTCAATCAAAGCTAATTATTTCCCGAAAATAGTTTGGAAATAGTTTTTGCCGAATAAGTGACTATATATGTGCATATAATAAGTGATGCGGGTACGCTTATGTAATTTTTCAACTTCGCTTCAATTTATTCACCTATTGCTGTATTTGAGCAATTGTTCATGCTGTTATATAAGATCAGGAAAGGTTTATTAAACCACATAAAAGTCTATCGATGGTGCAAGCATGGTGGTAGAGCCCATGGTGCAAGTAATAGGTTAATTTGATTTTTTTAAATGGCGGGAAATAAAACCTGACAACTTTTTTCCGAAAACTCATTTTTCGCAAATCTCTAAAATAACTTTTAAAATCTTTTAAAAAAGAAAAATAGTAAATTAATGATTATACATATTTTCCAACCTTACACGGGGCCTTTAAAATAACGTAAACCTATGAACGAGCGAACAATGATTAAGATGTGTTATATAACATGGCCTTACAGACTGAGTAGTGTTCCAACTAACGATTTCTCCAAACATCTTTAACCAGACAAGAAACTCCATCCTCCAAGATCGGTCCTTCACTGCTTTCATAGCAGATCATGTAATGCAATGAATTACTCTTGGGCTTAGGATGAGAAACTCAATATAAGTGCCACCGACAAACAAGACTCGTGATATTTGAAGTATGACCAAACAAAACAATGTATTTCGATATGCACGGCTCAGCTAGACCAGAAATTCAATATAAATAGGAAAACCAGACAAGACACTCGATATATGTGTTGCACAACTAGATCAGACACTCAAAATGAGAAACACAACTCATAGCCTAATCAGATCAGACACTGATGTGTGTATACTAGCACAATCACACAAGACACTCAATATGTGAAGCACATCCAGGAGTGTAAGACACATTCAAACCAGACATTTAATTTTGATAGCACAACCAAATCAGACAGATATGTGTAGCACAAGAGCAGATATGCAATATGTATAGCTCAACCACATCAGACACTAAATTTGTATAGCACAATTACACCAGAAGTTCAATATGTGAAGCACATCCCGGAGACACTCAATATGTTAAACACATCAAACCAGACATTCAATTTCGGTAGCACAACCAAATTAGAGTTATACTTGTAGCACTAGAGTAGATATGCAATATGTATAGCTCAACCACATCAGACACTAAATATGTGAAGCACAATTACACCAGACATTCAATATGTAAAGCACATCCAGGTGACATTCAATATGTTTAACACAATCAAATTAGACATTCAATATGTGTAGTACAACCATAGCAGATATACAATATAACAAAATACTGAAAATAACAGAAACCTTAAAAGTTGAGAATCCCCTCATATTGGTGACCATTTGGAGCATTTTCTGGTTAATGAAGCACAGAAGCGATTTATATAATAAACTCTTGTACTTTTAATCAATAGGGGCAAAATCTGAGATTCTATGGTATAACATGGAAAATAGAACCAATGATTTTTCTGATCAATATGAAGAAACGGACCTTGACGTTTTTGG